CAGCAGGAGCCAGGAGGGCCCTGGGACCCTGAATGTGCTAGTGCGAGTGAAGGAAAAATCAGTCTTGTGAATGGACTTGGGTGGGGGAAAATGTCCTGCTTGTGGGAATGTTCAGGAATGGATGCAATTTTCTTGTTACTTTCTAGTAATGTGAAAAAGATGCTCGCCTCTGGGTGCAGTGTCCCCTGTGCAGAACCAAGCAGGATTTCAGCTGTTGGCAGCAGCAGGGGATGAAATGCAAGGAAAAAAAGTCATAGGCGGGGCGGGCGGGATTTCTGCAGCGTGGGACAGGAGTGAATGCCATTGTCTGGCGTGGAGCCATGCCTTTAGACTTCTTTTTAGACAGCGTAAAGAGGGAGCAGATGCTTTTCCAAAGGGATTCACTCAGTGCCGCAAAGGACCACACTCCGGCATGCTGCTGCAACTCTCCTGAAAAAGACTTGGTTGTGAAATAGCCTGGAGGCTTTGACTTTCATGATTTCCAGATCCTGGAAATACGCTGCCAGGACTGCTATAGCTGAAAGCGGGCAGACATAACTATTCAGTGCTGTGGGCCAAAATGTGCTTTATAAGAGTACTGGCTGGGAGTCCATCCAGGCTTTCTTCTTTTAGGATCTTGTGTGAGTCACTTTATTCCAGATTTTTAAAGGGATGTCTCTGCCCTCTGTGCCCATAAGTGCACAGAGTGCACACCCACCTAAATGTGTACAACCTGTTCCCCATTTCAACAAAAACACCAGCGCTTCAGGCCAATGCACCCTGGGTCTGCATAGCTGTAGAAGTGTTTAACAACGATGGTCTTGGGTGACATTAGTCTTTGAAACCATTCGAAAACAATATTTTTGGAAGTCTGTTGTGTTTTGTTTCCAAGGAAGCTTCTGGGTTAGAAGAAGCATCAGAAATAGGAAGGAGTGATAAGGCCATAAAATACGGCATTCCTCCATGAATATAAACGTCACTAAAGTTGCTGGTGATGTACTGCTGCTGCTGTTTTTAAATGTTCCCCTCTAATGCATGCTAATTAAACCATTTTCATATTGTACTTGCTTATAGGTGATAACATGCTAACTGCTATCTCTGTGGCCAGAGACTGTGGAATGATTCTACCTCAGGACAAGGTTATTATTGCTGAAGCACTACCGCCGAAGGATGGACAAACTGCCAGGATAAACTGGCATTATGCAGATACTCTCCCAAAATGCACTAATTCATCACCAGCCATTAACTCAGAGGTAATTTTAGCATGGGTTTTGTTCCTCTAGGTCAGTGGCTCTCAACCGTTTTAGATGCGAGGCGCCCTTGGATAGGTGTGAGGCACCCCTTGGGAAGTGCCGCCTCTTCGTTTTCACTCTTTTTTTGAACGCAGAAAAATTATAGAGCAGCTTTTTTCGATTGCAAGGAACTCAGAAAGATCACAGCTACAGGTTTCTGTGTGAAATCTCTGGGTGTATCTTACAAATCCCATTTGCACACCTAATTGTGCTAATGTTGTGCAGCACCACAGGGTGCTGTGGCACCCTGGTTGAGAATCGCTGCTCTATATGTTAGCATGAGATTTCCTGTTGGGTTTATTTACTTTCCTTGAATTATTCTAGTGAAGCATTGAGCAGGTTTGTATAAATGAACTGTTTCATTGACCACTAGACAAATAGTGGAATGCAGTTCTGGAATTAAAGCGTGATGCTGCCTTTCTTGTAACACAGTGCTGGCTCGTAACTACAGGCTGGTGTGGCTGTTTCTTTCACTGAACTCCGCTTGATTTATTTAACATTTGGAGCTGTCTCACTTTCACTCTAGAAACATGTGTGTTTTACCCTCTTTGGATTGCTGTTGTGGGGGCCCACCACAGACAAGAAGCCACCTTCTTGCTGTGGCTAGGAAGCACATCAAGGCCATTAATACAGCGTACACGTAACAGTAATAACGATAGTACTGTTCTCATCCTCCAAGCTCTGAATAAGCATTCAAGCCCCTAACTAAAGTCAGTTGAAGCTGGCATCTGCTGAGTGAGCAGATCTACTGTAGTGTTGGGTGAATATATTGATACCTGCCCATCTGCATCAAGCAGTTGCCTTCGTAAAGAGACTGCTCTTATATGCTCCTGAGCATTGAACAGTGTTGAAGTGCCTACTTTAGGGCGTGTGTTCCCGCTGGAGGCAGTAGGAAGCTCTCCCTGGTCTCCAGTGAGAAAAACCTTTATCAACTGCCTTTTCAATGCAGCATCCTCCCTCTTGAGACCTTTGACTTGGAAATTGTTAGTGCCCTGGGGCTACTACACTTCGCAGACTGTGTGTCTTCGTATTGCTTCTAAGTTTTAAAATACCATGCAGTGGTAAAAGAAAAGACCCTGGTCCCTACACCTCAGTATCCTGTATCTCACAGTGGCAAAGGTTATTAGGTGAGACTGTTGTGGTAAAAGTTACTCGAGAAGCAAGCTGAAAAGTCACTGGGAGATGGATTGGTGTTGCAGCCATGATTAACCCCCTGTCTACATTTATAAATCTGTTTTTATGAAGGCATGTTCCAAATATTTTTATAAAAATATTTCAGCATCTGTAACCAAAACATGTATTAAATTACAGGGTTTTTGTTATCAGATGAATGAGATTTAATCTTACAAATTTTCTTTTAGCTTGTAGTAAAATTCTCAGTAACCCTTATTAAAGGTACATCCCTTAAGATGCATAAAATAGAGCTGGGGACAGTTTGAAATATAAGGAACAATTCTGACTGCTGTGGCTAAATTAACTGGAATTTCTTGTGATTTGGTACAGGATATTCCTATAAAACTGGTCCATGAAAGCCATGAGGATCTCCAGATGACCAAATACCATTTTGCAATGAATGGGAAGTCCTTTGCAGTGATACAGGAGCATTTTCAGGACTTGGTCCCCAAGGTTGGTCCCTTGCTTGGCATTGGCCTTTCGGATGATGAGCAGATTCTGCGCTGTGAGTCACGGTGCTGAGAACTGTGCTCTCTTTCAGCTGGTGTTGCATGGCACCGTGTTTGCTCGCATGGCACCCGATCAGAAAACACAGCTGGTGGAAGCCTTACAAAACGTAGAGTGAGTAAATTACAGACCGTTTGTGCCGGGCGCGTTCATACGTTACAAAACTGTCTCCTGTGAAAGAAAGGCTGTGCGTTTAGCTGTTTGATGTGGTTCCATATGTGTTACTAAGAAGGCCAGGCTGTACAAGTTTACTGTCTTGTGAGCTGGCCCAAAAGGCAGTTGGCGGAGCTGTTAGGAAAGCAGTGCGCTCTAGTGGTGAACTGTGAATCCGGGACCTTTCAAAACAGCTGCTTTTTCAAGACGTTATTATGAAGAACCGCGCTGACAAGCATATCTGATTTTGGCTACTCGGCTTAGTGAATAATTCATATGAGTTTTCTGTTTGTTTAACAAATAAGTATTAATGGGATAAAAACCTGTTTGTTCACATTTTGCCAAATTGGCTCCTGGTCTCAAGCTGCCATGAACTTTTACTTTGCAGGGATGAGTCTAGTGGGGAGTTTACTCATGCAACTGTTTCCATTCAGCTACAGGTTCCTCCAAAATTAGGGGTGACCTCCGTGTGATACTGTGCAAAAAATGTGGAACAGCATCTCTTCTTTCAGTTGACAAAGTCTACTCCCCTGGACCCCTGCAGGCAGCTGGCTGTGAAAGATTAAGTATGAGAACGGGAGCCAGAAACCGAGCTCTAGTCCTGGCTATGGCTTTGATTTACAGCTAACTAGGGCAAACCACTTCACATTTTGTCTCCATTTCCCCATCTGTATAATAGAGATCCTCATGCCTTGTTATAGCATTACCGCTCTTGGAAAGCAAAGTTGCGTAGAAGGGTCCGTGATGATAAATGCAATACGTGTTATGGCTCTGGAATGGAGTAGAATGCTGAAACTTGTTTGGTTTTTGTAGTTACTATGTTGGCATGTGTGGAGATGGTGCAAATGACTGTGGTGTAAGTATATTTCTTTTTTAAGGTGCTGCCATCACATTATTTTAAATTTTAGAGCTAAGCCTTTGTTGTAGAGCAGCCCCTCTAACTCTTCCATGCTCACTGGCAGGCCCTGAAGAGAGCGCATGGTGGCATATCGCTGTCGGAACTCGAGGCGTCTGTGGCTTCGCCGTTCACCTCCAGGACTCCCAGTATCTCCTGCGTGCCAAACCTGATCAGGTAACGCTGCTTGTTGTAGTTAACTACACGTTTCCCATAAGCCAATGCAAGGGCAAAGCAAAGATTGCATGAGCCGGCCGTGCAAGGGTTATTTCTCTGCATGCTCTGTGTAACTTCCTATTTGGTACGAGAGAGGATCAGTCACAAGCCTGAACAGTTTTCTTTCCTTCATTAACAAATCACTACAAAATGGAATTTTTTTATTTTAACTTTTTGTCCATGTGAAGTTAATGTCTTCCTTTAAGCTATGAGATGTCTTCTAGCCACTGAATAATCTTGCCTAAGAACGATTTGAATTGTTGCCATTAAGCATCAGGACTCATTTTTTTCACAGTTTGCAGGAAGCTTTAAGTTAACCACCAAGTCTTGCATGCATGCTCTTGGGCTTCCCAAACTTCAAGTACAAAGTCCCAAGTTTGTGCTGCCACCTCTTCACACCCTGTAGCACTTGCTGCTCTTTGGAATGACTGACTGCAAAGGATTGCACTGTGGGTTTCATATGCATATCTTGATTGCTGGATCAAGTTTGTTCAGTGTATTTTTTAAAAGTCTCTCCATCCCTCGAAATCTGGTTGGAGGCCTGACTTTCCTCTCAGAGCATAGTTATACTGTAAAAATTCTGTGGACAGCTTCTGTCCTTAGCTATGCTGTTGAGAAAAGCCGGTGTGCAGACACACAACGTTATTAGTTTGGAAAATGTTGCCCTGGATTTTATTCTGGAGTTAAGAGCAGACACATGACCAGCTCTCCAAAGCTAGCTGCTCACTGTGGGCACGATTACAGTAACTGTTCACTGGCTGGTGGGAGCAGGCTTGCATTGAGAAGACAGCGAGCCTGGGATAGAGTTGGTTAAGAGCAGACCTGGGCCCACTCTACCTAACTTTCCCATGTAGTAAAGTTACTGTATGTTTTTCAGGGAGTAACTTTTAGTCTGAGTTTGAGTGATTTACTACTTAGTCGAGTTGTGCGCTGTGTGCTTGCACCCTGTGGTTCCCGCTGGGCTTGCTGAGAAGAGTTTTTGTTCCTAATTGGAAGCTGGTTGACAGCTTTGACCCATGAACCAGAACAGAACCCAGTTCAGCTTGCCCCACGGTGCCAGCTCTGCCGAACTCGCAGGGGTAGGAACAGGTGTGAAAGCTGACTTGTTTCTCTGCAGTCAGCTCGTCTGACCCTGAGCAGGGGTCAGGGAGCAGCTCTGTGGAGCAGATGTGCCACAGATGCTTTTCAGAGCAGCGCTGAACTTTGACAGCTCTTATAGCTTGTCCGGTAAATCTTCCCAAAGTAAATCTCACTGAGCAGACATTACTCATTACATTTAGGTGGCACATTGACAGTTGCAGTCAGCTGGGAAATGCATCTTCTTCCTTTTTCCTTTTCAGATTCTTGACATGTCTTTGACCTTGCTGTCACTTAGCAGAAAATGCTTCACAGTGTGCATTCACGTGTTTAATATTAGCAAGCATTTTACTGCCCAGCATGTAATTAATGCCTTTTATTACATGGATGTATTTGTTTTCACAGGGAAGGCCGGGCCGCTTTAATAACTTCCTTCTGTGTATTTAAGTTCATGGCATTGTACAGCATTATCCAGTACTTTAGTGTTACCCTACTGTATTCTGTGAGTACTTGACCATATAACACTTAAATGTTATTACATTTTTGTCTAACAGTTTCATACAAGGAAATTAACCCTTGACTAACTAGTATAATGTGATGATTTTTTTTTTTTCTGGGGGTTTCCTGGAGGTGGGGAGGGGGCATGACTTGGTGCTTATAATAAGTTACTACTTGTTTTTTGTTTTCTGGAAAACTTATGCAGTGATCATCTAGAAACTTTCCCACCCTGCCTTTGACAGCAACATGACCGCAGCATTCACAGTATTACGTTTGTCTTCCTGTAGTTCAGTAGATGGGAATTTGTGGTAAACATAGCCCTTTATCAAAGGCATAAAATAACTGCAGGTGGAGTAGGCTGTCAGGTGCTAGTGCGATTGGGAAGCCATATAGATACCTGGGAAAGGCACAGACCTCCCGCAACACGTAGAATGACAATTTGCTTTTTCATTAGTCACCATAACAGATTATCAACAATTAGGAAAAGACCAGAACTTTAAATAACATGATGTGTCTATAATGATACATCATCAGAGAATAATGAGGTAATGGTATACAGTGACTGCATTATTGTATTTAAAGGCACTTGGTGGAAAGTCTCTGCGCTGACTGTCCTGTAATTCATATCTGTGACCTCAAATTTGGAATGCGAGTTGGTTTTCCAGGAGATTTATGGTGAAGGTTTGTTAGAACAGTGTCCTGTGCGATTGGGTTTTTTGGTGTATGATATTTAAGGAATTTCGGGTCTGAGATGGACTTTGCACTGTTGTGCTCCTGCATTTACTTGAATAGAAGATGACCCTGATAATAATATGACCCCCTCCAATAATTAGATTCTGTATGTGGAAAAATTATAAAGTTGTTATAATTTTCCAGGTATAGAATCAAATGATCGGAGGTTTACCTTGTTCCCCTCCCACTGCTACAGAAGGGAAAATAAATCTGGAGGGTCAGGTAGCCCTTTGCTTTCTGCTTTCCCCCAGCTTTTCCCCTGGCTGCCCTTCCCCCTCTCCTTATGGTCAGACCCTGCTCTCCCTGAGCACATGGAAGTGAGGAGCAAATTTGAACTATCACCCTGAAATTAGACGCTGCAATAGCAATTTGCATATAGTACCCTCACACCGTGCACTTCGCTCCTCCAGACTTGATGCATGTTATCTTCTTTCTGAAACTGCTGCAAGTTTTAGCACAGGTACTCACTCCATAGATGCACTTTTGAACAGCGCTTTGGCAGCTGCTTATACGTAGTGTAGGCTATGCATGGTATTAATCCAGAGGCAAAGACTTGTGATTTTACCACATAGTTCATTGGGCTGGGCCCTGCCACAGTCAACAGCATTTCAAGCCACAGTGACCCCACAGCTCAGCACTGCTCAGTATGTGTGTGTACTCCAGATACCCCTACGAAGGAGCCACGTGCTAATTAGCCCTCACTCATGACTGGAACAAGGTGTTCTTGTCACGAGTCCTGGGATCCTCCAAAGATTTCTATGCAGATGAGGCGCAGGGCAACCTGGTCCAGCTTCACCTCGAGGAGGGAGGGGCCACACTAATCATGTGTGACAGAGGGATTCTGGGTGAACCGTTTGGGGCCCCATTTCATGATGTTTGGCAGGCATTTAAGGCTGGTGAAAAAACAGGAATCACTGGAAATGGGATAGAAAGCTGAAGCTCAACTGTAGGAGTGAAGAGGATGATGTCAAAAGGTGTGCAGTTTTGTGGCTCACCATGACTTGAAAAAGTGTCTTAGTCAGATGGGATGCACTGGCCTACCCTTGCGGTAGGTTCCTGTCAGCACGTTTGCCCAGCATATGTTTTATAGTCATGACCAGTGGTGGCTGCATTCAGTCAGCTTCATAGTTGGTTGACATTGCTGGGGATATGCTGCAGCAGCAGTTTAATGATAGATCATGTATTTTGTGAGATTTCCTTGTATGCGATTATAAGACAAGGGGCTTTTTCCCCCATGTCAGTTGGGGGTGGGGAAGCTCATCTTGTGTTTGAGTAAATGCAATAATTTGGACAGAGGTCAGCTTCCCCTTTAAAAAAACCCTCTGTATTTTGAATCTGCGCCATTTTCTCTTGCAGTAACTACGATTCCCAAAGACTCTGGGTGCTCAGCCCATGCCTGGATTGAGCCCCCATTTATAAAGTACATCTGAAAGAATTTACAGATGAAAATTATTATTGTAATCATAATCATCATCATCCAGCACCAAGTAGGACTGGAAGCGACCTCCAGAGGTTACATCTAGTCCAACCCCCTGCCTAAGACAGGATCATCCCTATCCAAACCATCCCATACAAATCCATCATCTGATGTTTCTAAATGTGAAGAAATTGCTAACGTTTCAGTTGTGGTTTCTCTCTAGATCCTAAGCAATTTAGGAGACTTCCAGTTTCTCTTCATCGATCTGGCAATCATTTTGGTTGTTGTCTTTACTAGTGAGTATATTGTGCTGAATAATCTCTTTTATGTTCTTGTTCATATCTTTAATCCATTTCTTCTTATCTGTTATCAACTGCTGGAGTTTTGAAAGAAAGAAATTGTGTTGCAAGCTCAAATTTATTGTCAGGATCTTGTTAAACACCATTTTTTCTGCGATGGTAATTGTCATTTATCCAAAGTATATGAATCAAAAAAATTGAATGGGAGGACACAATGTTATATTGGGGTGAGCTCACGTGTGTGACATAATATAATCTCACACAGACATGATGACAGGAGTGATTGGCAGCCCTGGGAAACTGAATTTTGACCTAGGGAAACACATGGTTGAAACACTTGAAGGCACTTTTTGTCCAAATGATGATGGTGTGATGGGTACTTTCTCAAGGCTTGCACTCACTGAAGTGTTATGCACAACAGATTACGTTCACACCCAGGCTGTCTGCCCTTATCAGTTTGTCCTCACCCGTGATAAATGCAAATGAGTCTAGTTTACAGGTTACTACCAGTTGAATTATTGCCCAAGATTAAAAACTGCTCTTGAAACTGTGGCATGCTACCTCAAGTGCAAGTAGACAGCCTGCAGCCACTGCTGGTGCTCACTCGCCACACAAGGGTGGGAAGGTTGGCTTACCCAGCCTCCACCGCATTCACCAGCCGGGTACGGATGGGTCACTGCTGTGACCCCTGGCCCCTGTTCCCTGGCTCTCTTGGTTGCTTCCTATCAGTGGAAGGCTCAATTTCCCGGTCCGTGTGACAGCAGGCTGTTGAGGAGCAATCTATTGGAGGCTGTTGTGCATTGTAAATGCAGAGCTACCCCACCAAATTAGCATAATGCAAATATCTAGAAGGTATGAGCAGACCATTCCAGCTCCATAAAACTCAGGCAAAGTGACTCTTGGAAGCATGAAGCCTGCTGGTGATCCTCAGTTCTATCTTTCTCTCTCTCTCTCTCTCTCCAGTGAGTTTAAATCCTGCTTGGAAGGAGCTTGTTGCACAAAGGCCACCCTCAGGTCTCATCTCAGGTCCACTTCTCTGCTCAGTCCTGTCCCAGATGGTCATCTGCATTGCTTTCCAAGCCATGGGGTTTGTTTGGGTCAAGCAGCAGCCCTGGTATGAGTCCTGGACCCCAGACTCAGAGTAAGTTGTAAAGAGCATGGTCACCTCTGAAGGGGAGCGGCTGATAAATATGTGACCCCTAGCTGGGAAATGGGCAGTTCCAGGGTGCTAATGGCAGTGCTGAACTACTGTGTTGAACTTGGTACGTGGGGGCTGTCTGCTGTGGGAGGAGAAAGGCTTCTGACTTTTTGGAGTCAAATGAGGATTTTTGTTTGGAGGGAATCTCACTTTGTACTGCCAATTGCCTCCTGAATGACAGTGGGGCCTTTCTTTCTTGCAGCCCATGGGACAGTTATATGGAGACCTGCACAAAACATTAGGACTGACCTTGATACACAATGTGGAAGAACTGGCAAATGGGTTGAGATGCTGCAGAGTGAGCTGGGAATCTGAGAGCTGCTTCCACCTCACTCCTGCAGCCTTGGGGGAAACGCAACCAACCTGTTACGCTCACAAGATTAGGGAAGGCAAGAAGGACAGTGGGCTTTGTTTTGTCAGGGTGAGGAGTGTGCAGTGGCTCAATGTCCAGTTGGGAGGCAATATCAAGTGGCCACACCTCTGGGGTCTGTCCTGGGTCCAGTGCTTTTTAATCTGGTGCTTCTTGGCCTTTTGGCTAAGGTGCAACCTTTGCTATTAAAGTTTGAATCTCTTCATTAGATTTGGACCATGGGATCAAGTGCACATTTAGCAAATTTGTGGATGACACCAAGTTGGGTGGAATTGCAGACACTCTGGAGGGCAGGGCTGGGATCCAGAATGGCCTGAATACACTGGAGATATGGTCCAAAACCAGTCAGATGAAATTCAACAAGGAGAAGTTCAAAGTCCTGCATTTGGACCAGTGCAGTTGCATGCCCAAGCATAGATTGGGGAATGACTGGCTGGGCTGCAGTACTGCAGAGAAGGACCTGAGGGTTACGGTGGATCATAAGGTGAATATGAGCCAAGTAGTGTGTCCTTGTTGCAAAAAAAAAAAAGCGCCATCAGCATAGTAGGCTGTATTAATATAAGTGTTACTTGTTAATCAAGGAATATGATTCTTCCACTTTATTCAGGGGTGTCCCTGGTGGCCGTGTTGGTATGAGACAAAAAGACATACAAAAAACTAGAACTCTTGGTTCCAAAATGCTATCTTTTATTAGACCAACTGGAAAGTGGCAAGAAAATTGGACAGTTTTCTTGCCATTTTCCAGTTGGTCTAATAAAAGGTATCATTTTGGAACCAAGTGTTCTAGTTTTTTGTATTCCACTTTATTCAGCACTTACGAGTGTTGAGTAGAGCTCGGAGGCCTCACCTGGAGTGCTGGCTCCAGCTTTGGGCATCACACTTCAAGGAGGATGTGGACAGACTGGAAAGAGTCCAGAGGAGAGCAGCAAAAGGGCAAAGCAGTCTGGGAAACACAAACTGCAAGGAAGGACTGAAAAAAGGCATGTGTTTAGTCTGGAAGAGAGAGACTGAGGAGGGATTTGCTAAGTTTTCAAACGCCTGAAGGGCGGGTACGCAGAGGGTGGCGAGAAACTTTTTCTGTAGCTGCAGGGGACGGGACAAGGAGCAATGGTCTTAAATGTTGGCGAGTGGAATCTAGTTTGGAGAATAGGAAGAACTTTCTTACCATGAGGGTGGTTCCCCGTTGGAACAGGCTGCTCAGAGAGGCTGTGGAGTCTCCGTTGTCAAGCACAGCTTGGAGAGACGCTTGGCTGGGCTAGTTTAGGCAGGGGTGATCCTGCCTTGAGCAGGGGGCTGACCTAGATGATCTCCTGAGGGCCCTACTTTTCCCTGATTCTGTGAAAGTACAAGTTTGGAAGCAGGAGTGTTATGCCTTGGACAGCTGGAGCAGATGAGGTGCCAAAGTCTTGCTTACCTGCGCTGGTAGTGTGGGCAGTCGTGGGCTGCAGATCATTCACTGAGGAATGAAGGTAATTTACTTGGGAGTGCTGCGAGCCCATTAGGAATGACTGCAGGGATCCCATGAAACCACGGAGCCACAGGCAAATTTGCTGTCATTTCCAGGGGAAAGTGGAAAGGAAAGGAACAGACCAGCCCGGACTGGAATCGCCGCGTACAAAGAGCAGGTGTAACATTAGTAGAGTTTAGGCTGAACAAGTTGGCTGAATCTGGAGAGCCCTGAATTCCAGATGCAGATGCTGAGCTGAGTTTCCATCAAAGGGCCCCTGGCTTTAAGCTTATTTCCATTTTATCCATAAAGTTACTAGATTGTCTAGGTACTACATCTTGTTTCAGTGGCCCCGTAGCTTTGTACCATGAGCTACTATTTATACCCTTTTCTTCTGGAGACTGACAGATTAATTAGGTTCAAAAGGGTATTGGACAGATTCATGCAGGACAGGTTCATCAGTGGGTATGAAACATGATAGTAGAGCTGTAGCCTCCAAATTAGGGTTTTCTAGGCCTCTGGAAGCTGTAAGGAGAGAGGAGAGGGGTTGAGGCAGATCAGTCCAGACAGGCCTTGTACAAAGGTCCAGACAGGCCTTAGCGCCCGCTCTGTGCCGCTGTGAGGGGACAGGATGCTGAGCTAGATAGACCTAGTACGGCAGAGCTTGTCTTTTTTTACTGCAGCCTCCGGGAGCATGTGCGACAATGAGGCTCGTTCCCGTAATAACTGACATCTTGAAAACAACCTCAGGACTCGCAAGCCGCAAAAGAAACTCCAGTCCCTGGCCTCGGCCATTTCCAGGCACAACGACCTTCTTAGTTACCCATGGGAAAATGTCCAGACTGCATCCACTGTAACCTAATTGGCAAATTTTGCTGGAATTATTTTTGTGTTGCTTGCAGTGGATGCAACTCTCTTCTCTTCAACCGCATGTTGAATGTTCTCCTGTGTTGCAGTGCATGTAACGTGTCGAGTGCCACAGACACCAACTCCTCCAGCCATGGGAACCAGACCCTTCATGATGAGCATAATATCAAAAACTATGAAAACACGACCGTGTTTTTTATCTCCAGCTTTCAATACCTCATCGTGGCAATTGTCTTTTCTAAAGGGAAGCCCTTTAGACAGCCTTGCTACAAAAACTGTAAGTGTTTAATGCACAACCCTGCTGTATTTTTGCAAAGAAGGGTTTCCTGTTGCAATAGTGACTTGATTCATATAGCGGATTTGTTCAGAATCCGATCCTTTCCTAGTGTTTAGAATCCCGTCCTACCGATTCTCTTGTCTAGCATCCCATGATATGATGGGCAAAAATAACAGTTTTGCTCACTAGAAAATGAGTTTCTTCCCCAGGAAATAGGGGACAAGATAATATGTCTATTGAAAATACATGGGGCACTAAAAATATCCAGGATTCCTCTGGGGATGTTGTTTCAGTCATTTAACGAAGAAATTTCTTGTATGCTACAAATTGTCACTCTTTTCAAAGTAACTTTTGTGAAACGCAGGTGGTTCATTAGTTTCTCCTTTGGGAAACTGAACTAAGTGCAGTTGCTCCACTGGTGCGTTTCCCTCATTGAATTAAGTGCTTTGGGTAACATAATACACCTGGTTTTATGTCCTTCTCAAGTAAAATGTGAACGTTACCCATGTTTTAGAGTGCATTCAGCTTGTATTTTCTGTTGTGAGCAGGGAAAACTTGTACCACAAACTGCATTTTCATAAATTACTGAGAATTTAAGGGATATGTGTTAAGATCTTTTTATATATGTGGCCAAATAATTAGAATACAATTCTTTGCATTCCTTCAAATCCAAGATTTAAATAAAAACTATTTGCTTCTGGCTTATTAATGCAAAATACCCTTTGCCCTGTTTTATAGATGTTGTTTCTGAGAGCATGTATGACAGACGTGCATACTAGCTATGCAAGACAGACTGATAAGTTATATTTTCTCCTTTTTTACAGTTCTTTTTGTTTTCTCTGTGATATTTCTTTATATCTTCATATCTGTCATCATGTTGCATCCAACTGAAGTTATTGACTCGTCTCTAGAGGTAAGATTCAATGAATACGCATCACACACGATGCAGCTGGCTTCCTTCTCAGTCGGCTTCTCTTGGCCCCGATAGACACTTTTGACAACTAGAGTTCTGCTAGAAGAACTGAACACAAATTGGACACACGCCTGTACAGTCAGATGCTACCAGCAATTTAAAGTAGTCTAGCTTTGCATGACAAGTTAAAGAAGAATTTACTTAAAAAACCCCCCCAACCCTTTCAGCCTAAGTTATAAATTGAAACGTGTTTCAAACCCTTCACCCTTTTTCTCAGAAAGCCTCTCAGAATGCAAAAAGATAAAATTCAGTGCTTTCTACAGCGAGGCATTTGCTCTAGTGCATAGACTTCTGCTTGAGCAATAGGAACAGGAATTTAAATTTGAAGTTTATATCCAGCCTTGCTTCCATCCAATTTTCCTGTATGCACTCACAATTTTGTGCATGTTATGTTGAGTGTACGTTGCTCACCTATGACGCATTTCTTGCAGCTGGTTTGCGTGCCGTATCAGTGGCGTGCAACACTTCTTGCCATTATCGTCATCAATGCAGTTGTCTCCATCCTGGTGGAGGTAAGTAGTTCAAGTTAAAAGTGATCTTTTTCATGCAGACTTTTCTCTGAGCACAAGTATATCCTCTGTGTGGAGTGATACCTGACTGTAAAATGCCCATGGAAAGCAGGTTGATTGGAGTTTTATATTTCTACAAATGTATTTTCAGGCAACATTTAGGCTATAGAATTTTGTGTTTAAAAACTGGTTTCTCTGAAAGGTTTAAAGATTCACTATGTAGACAATAATATGCCAAGAAGTAATTGAGCAAAGTTTTGTAGTAAATTCAAAAGAACATACCCTAGCTGTATATAATCATATAAGTCTTCGTTCTATACAGTCTTTTGGGTGCTTGTTGTTGTTATTACTAGCAGTTATTTTGTCATCTAATAATTTCACATTGTTTGAGAAGAGACCATTCACTCACCTAGTTGAACCTTCTCAAACCATTAGCTTTCATCCAGGTACCCTTGTTTGGAGCTCAGTAACTTGAGTTGAACTAAAGAATATGTTCTAGGAAGGTCTCACTGTGCATCTGAAGGCATCAAGAGACAGACAAATCCACCACTTGAGTTTGTTTTCGCAGTTAATCATCCTTGATGCTAAAAACATGTGCCCAGTTTTTAATCTAAATTAGTCTGGCTTCAGCTGGGTCTCTTTATGACTTTCTCAGCTAGATAAAAGCCCTTTTGTCCTGGTTATTTTCTTCCTGTGAACATGTTTGTACATCACAATTAAGGGACCTTTTTATGATAAGTGGAAGAGATTGAGCTGTTGGGGGCATCTGTCTAGCCCTCAAGTCATCTTTCTACCTCTCTCATTCTCTCCAGTGTCTTTAACATCCTTTTTCTTTCCTTTTTTTTTTTTTTAATGTGGTCACCGGGTCTTGACACAACATTCCTGGGTAAGCTTCACCAGTGCTGTGCATGGAAGGAAAATCCTTTCCCTGCTTCTCCTCACTGCCATCCCCTTTGCATCCAAGGATGGCATTTGCCCTTTTTGCCACTCCATTGCACTGGGAGCAGGTGTTGGGTTCCTGGTCTGTCACCCCTTAATCTTTTTCAAAGCCTCTGCTGTTCAGGAGAAAATCCACCACTGTAGGTTTGACCGGACATTGCTTGTTCCTAGGTGTCTGATTGGTATTTGGCCCTATTTAAAAACGTGGTGAGCTGGGCCCATTCCTCGTGCCTGCTCTGTTGCCTCCTTATTTGCACCTTCCTTGACGTTTGTGCCATCTGCCATGAGCCATGAATTATTTCCATAGGCCTTTCCAGATCATCGGTGAAAATATCGACCATGGCCAGGGCCAGTCCTGAGCTCCTCTACACTTCTCTAGACACCTCATGTGTCACCCTGGCCTACCTTGTACCGTCTTTGATGGTGCCCTTCCATAGCTGCTTGCTGAGGCTGTCACTTCGCCAGTTCTTGGCGCACGGAGCTTGCTTGCTGTTGATATCGCACCGCACAGAACAGACCACGGAACTGAGTCCAGGGCCTCTTCCATCTGAACCGGTAGCATCCGTGCAGCTGCCTTCTCAGCAGCGATCCTGGTTTTATCTGTTTAAAAATTGCAGATTCTCTGATTAAACCTCCCCAAATCCACGTTTTTCCGTGATTAAAATGAAACATCTTTGATTTTGTGTTTTTACCATGGAAACATCAGAGCTCCCCTTGTCCCCTTCTCTCACCAGGATGTGGGTCCAGCTATGGCTGTCCCTCCCAACCTGTTTTGTGGCACTGACCAACCCTGACATGCTGGTGCCCTGCCCATGCCATTACCCTTCACTCCCCACCCACAGCCTCCTGCCCCCTCCCCTGGCCTTGCTGGAGGGGGCCCCCAGCTACTGGGGCTACGGGGCCAGGGACCCAGGTCTGCAGCCCCCCCCCAGTAGTGCCTGAACCCGACTGCCGTCCGTGGGAAATATTCATTGTATGCCTGCATCTTTGGCAGCATTAGTAAGTCTTACCATTGGCATTTCTTAATGGCCTAGCCTGAAGCTAATTTTTTTCCTGATTTATTTAAACTTTCTCATCTTTTTCCATGGTCACCATGTCATTTTCCCTAATTTCTTTAGCTTCCCTTAAAGGAATAGGATCATGGGAAAGCAGGGCTGGAAGGGACCTCACAAGGTCCCTTAGTCCACCCTCCTGCTCCAGGCAGGATCATCCCTCACTAAACTATTCCAGCCAAGTGTCTGTCTAACCTCCTTTCCCCCTGGGACTGGCCTCATGGGGATCCTGCCCATCAGTTCCCTGTCTGAATAGAAGTCTGCTTTTCTGAAGTCCAGGGTCCTTACTCTGCTGCTCTCCATCCTTCTTTTCCTCAGGGTCCTGAACTCACCCTTCAACAGATCTGACTGTTACCAAATGCCCCTGTCTGTTGTGCCTCCAGTATACAGCAGTTGCTCTCCATTCCCTCCTCCTTTCCATTTGCTATGCCCTGCTTTTTCATGTCTAATTGCTGTTGTCATATCACCTCTGAGCCTGGTTCTTTCACGAGTGAGGGACTGCAACAGGCTAAGGTTGGAAGGGACCCAAGGACAGTCTAGCCCAAACCCCTGCACAAGTGCAGGCGGTGCTGCTCCTGAACATCCCAGACAAATGCTTGTCCAGCCTGAAAACCTCCAGTGCAAGCGATTCCACAGCTTCTCCGGGCAGCTTGTCCTACTGTTCTGACAGCCAGGAAGTTCTTTCAGAGACTTAATCTAACTCAGGTTTGCTGCAGTGTGAAGTCACTGGTGTGTGTCCTGCCCCCAGGAGCAAGAGAGGATCACTTGCTCATCCTCTTCTTTCTGGCAGCCTTTCAGGTACTTGCAGACCACTGTCGTGCCAGCCTCTTAACTCCGGTTCTCCAAACTAAATTAGCCTAGTTGAGCCGGTGTTTGTGTCTTTGGTGCTTTCTGCCCTAGGTGTGCAGCACCTCACACTTGCCTCTGTTGAGTTTATTCGCTCTCCATAGCCCAGTTTTCCAGGCATCAAGAAGGATCCTTTTGAATTCTGCTCCTGCCCTCCAAAAGGTGTGCAGCCCTCTCCAGTTTGCTCCAAGGTCTCTGGAGTCTTCTGTAATCTGTGGTTTCCGCGCATTGCCGAGTCCTCGGTTCCAATGTGAATCATCACTTGAGTTTTCAGACCACGTCCAGTGCATCTTGCATTTTCTCTGACATCCTGCTGCTGGCAGTTGGCCCTTCATAATAGGGCAGTGCTGACGATTGTTTGCAGTTTGAAGATGGTTGAAGGCCTCTCCTGGTAGCTGCTTGCCCCCGTGGCAGAGCCATCTCTCTCCTATGGGACCATTTGTTCCATTTCTCTTCCCAGGACCGCTCCTCAAGAGTTGACTCCTTGTGTATCTGAGAAGGATTTGATGCTTCAAAACTTAATTCTGCACAGGCGGTCTTCTACCTTCAGTCTCAACTTGTCAGCCTGCTTTCGGGTTTCTGCTCCCTCCTGTTCCCTTGTCACTCACTGGTCCTTCCCTTAGTGGTAACAGTGGGTGAACATGGTTGTCCAGCATGCTGCGTGGCATTGCAGCTGGTGCTCTCACGCACGCTCGTTCTCCTGTTGACCTGGTGTTATGGGCTGGTGTACCAAACATCTCTTGCCTTCCGACAAAGAAAATATAACACGTCCAAAGCATGCCACAGAGCTGCCCCCTCCTTGTCCAGATCTGTTGTTTGGTAAAACTGAGCTGTGCCCCCTTCAGAACATGCCTGGTTTTTCCTCCCATTTGCCTAACTTAGGAGTTTGCAGGGCTGTTCATTCACACGCTAAGCTTGGCTGCTCAGCTCCACTCCCTCGTTAACAAAGAGGAATTATCTACTTCAGACAAGGATCAAAGAAGGCTCTTGGTTCATGGGCATACAAACCTCACCAAGATAGAAGCCAGCAGACTTGTCACACACCCTCCTCATTCAGGGACCCTCGACCTTGGCACGGGGCCCTCACGTAGAGTTAACAGACTGGATTCTGCACTAACTTCTCTGCCCTCCGATGCATCCGTATGTTCCTCCTGTTCGCTACTCGCTCACATTGCACAGTGCTCATTGCTGCTTAATAAAGACCCCCCCCCGCCCTCCACAGTGATTAGAGAAGTGTCTTAATGCGAAACGCCTGTAGCGCATTCAGTGCCAACGGAGGATTTCCTTGGAAAGGCAGCATCAGACCTGTTCTGAAGCCCTAACACAGTGCTGGCATTCACTGTGGTTAATATAAGGCATTTGTTCATGTTCCTGAAAACCTTGTGGAAGTGCTTAAGTGCAGGAAATGGTTTATCACTTGAATACCGACCAAAGCAGATTCTGTTGGACAGGACCGTGGCGTGTTGCTGTGCCCTGCACTGATTGCGTCTAACTCACTGTTTCGGGTTTGATTTTGAATGTGCACACTAACAGCAAATGATGATTAGTTTCTTTAATTCTTCCCACTCACTGTAATGTCTCACAGAATGTCTTCCTTGACATGGTCCTTTGGAAAGTTGTGTTCAGTCGGGACAAACAAGGAGACTGTCGCCTCGCCACACCCCAGCCGCCTCAGGTTGGAGACTAGTATTTTGCTGTCCGTCAATCAAGTGCATGCAAATTCAGTTAATCGTGTGCCATGCCATTGGAATGGCACGCTGAGGGAGGGAGCGGGGCGCCGCCTTTTAAACCTCAGATCTCACGTCGCATCGCATTGTAATTAAAAGGCTGGATCTTAACGAGGGGTTTGGAGGGGCAGGGGCAAGGAAGACTCAAGGAATGAATTGCATGTTGCATGTGACTTTCTCTTCCTTTCACATTAGATTTAATTATCTGCATTGCTTGTTCTCTAATGGTGCACACTGCTCTTTTTCCTGGACTGAAACAGCATTATTAGGTCTCACCCTCAATACATTAAATGTGTTGTGGCTGATCATGTACCATCGGTTAAACGGCGCATGAGGTGGGCAAGAAGCATTCTCAGGGAGTTTCAGATTTGAGCATTTAAGAGCATTCTTGGATCGCAGAAGGCTTCCGGACCAAGCTGTAGCTCCTGATGCTCAGTCCGCGACTCGTAGTGTACAGTAGCGCACAGTTCCAGGCAGTAGTGAGAATGCTTTGAAGTGAGCAAGAAACAACTGCGGGTGTGTGGGACGTGGGCAGGCAAGGAGATGCTGACCTAGCCTCTCGCCTGTCTGCCTCTTCGACCGACATTCCTGCAGTAATGCCGGAGAGAGGCTGGCGACCCTCCAGAAAGGTCACGTGCCACGCGACCACTGTGTGTCTCAGTTAGAAACAAGCGTAGCGTGTAACAGCAGTGAGGTGCAGTTTGAGGGTCTCCCTCTTAAATTTCTGGAATGGCTTTAAGGGGTTTTGCTGTCAACAACCTCATTCTCAGATCTGCTTGTTTCCCTGCCCCTTGCACAGGAGGCCACGGACCGCTGGGCAGCCTGCTTCCTGACGCCCCTGTTTAGCTGCAGAAAGAAGATGCCACAAGCCAAGTACATGCACCTAGCTCAGGAACTGCTGGTGGATCCGGAGTGGCCACCGAAGCCCAGAACGACGACCGAAGCTAAAGCTCCAACCCGGGAAAACGGTTCCCATCAGATAATCACTGTCACGTAGCAGCGGCTCAGCGGCGAGCTTCTGTAGTAGTGTTCAGAGGAATGTGATCTTATGGCTTCATTGGGAAATGTAGTACTAAGCACTGTAAGTCCTAGTACAAATATTTCCAGCTATCTCCTGTCCCTGAATGCAGAGGGCGAGCTGGACAGCATGCAGTTCGCCCATGAAAAGGTGGGTGAGGTCATGTCCAGCAAAAGAAAAATGAGGGGTTTTTACTAATTTGAAGAGATCTTATTTTTTCATGTGCATTGTATTTAAAAATTTAAATTGCAGGGCTATTAAATAGCTCCTCTGATCATTTATCTAGGGTATGTTAACCTTCGGAAATCGTTCCAGCTTGCACTCCAGTGCACGCATTCATGCAGCTCATGATGTAGCATTTTCATGGTAGGTTTAGGGACACGTAGGAAAAAAATGTTTAAACATTGGTCACTGTCTTTGCTTTGATCAGAAAGCTTTGTGACCATATGACGACCCCCAGGTGTCAGCAAGTGACCCTCTTGTTTCATGTGCCGTTCCAAAAACACCTCTTTGTCTGCTGGTGACACAGGAGTGTTTCCAGCTACAGGGCGTGTAAAAGTTCTGGGTTCCTGGCTTAGTCCTTTAGCCTGACCCTGCAGGAAGTGGGACTGCTGCAGACAGGTGTGCTCGGTGCCCAGGAGGAAAGCATCACGTTGCCCGAGTCATGCCTGTGTTCCTCTTCTGCTCATCTGGAGAGTGGCATTGCAGTGGGGTGGGGGGGTGACAGTCCTTCAGCCAGGACAGATTCAGCCTGCTTTTTGGGGTCTCGGGGGGGGGGTACCAGCAAACCTAGGCCTATAATGCCTCTTCTCTGTCCACCTTGCCTGTACCGCATTCATCTAGTCACCAGCTCCACAGGCGCTTGCTTGATTCAGCAAAAGGTTAGATTGCTCTTATTGGACCAGGTTTATTAATGTAACGTGAGTGGTCTTTCCTAACCAATGCCTTTGCACTACCAAGGCCAGAGCTACAAGGCAGAAAATACTTTCCACATGCCCGTCACATTAGCCAGTCCTAATCCTGGGCACCAAGGGCTTATACATTTCAAAGATTGCTCTACCGGTGTCTTAATTGCTATGCAGTTCTTTGAAGACAGGAACAGATGAGCTGGAGTCAGTGTCTGGGTAGAAAACTGTAGGGCTGCTCTGACCCTCTTCACTCGTGCATCACCAGTGGTGCCGTGTGTGTCCTTGCAGTGGCAGCGTACAGTTTCCCGTTGGGTGGTGCCAAAGAAGGTTTGCCCTGGCCACCAAACACGGGATTTCAAAGCGACCCTGGCAGAGAGCAGCAGTTTCTTACATGTCGGTTGTAGAAGCCTACAAAGCCTTGTGCAGCCTCATAAAGCAGTAGTAAAGCCATCAGAACAACTCCTTCGACATGTTACCCGAGGACATAACAGAACGATAAAGACTGGACAGCTTCTCCTAACTCGGTGAATCTGACTGAGCCGAGCAGCTCTGAACTTTGAGAAGGGGCCTTATCCAGATCTGACCTGTGTAGGAGGAAATGTCCCGGGTTGCAGACGGGGCTGGGAATGTCAGGGCTTTATGGAAATGACTTGAGGATGAGTTCCCCCCCCCGACTTGAGAGCTCTGCAGGCTGCTGTCTTAAAGGTCTGTAGAGAAGATCTTATGCTCTGGGATTCTTCAGGAAGGGAAATTTTGAAGCTCAGGCCCATTTCCCTTGTGCTTTCTTACGAAGCAGTGAGCAGTAGCACCCGTGTTGCTAATTTTAGGACTTTTGCAATGCTGAACATGCCATGCTAATGTTGCAATTAAAAACAGTGCTCGATGGTTTTGGGAGAGTCCTTCTAGGAGCCGTGAGGGTTAGTAGTTCTTAACACTCCTCACAAACAGCTTGTGGTCTGCTATCCTCCCTGACAGCTGGCAGGTCTTCCTGGCACTTCCGGGGGAGTTATTCACCACCGTTTTAATCAGTAGTGCAGAGCCGAGCTGTCCTCAGCCCGTCTCCTTAAGCTGCTCAACACGAACACTGATGACTTCAGAGGGGCCTGGAGTTGCACATGAGATCCCTGTTGCGGCTGGTGATTCTTCAGACTATCTCGGTCGTGCAGAGTTGGGGTGGGGGAGAAGAATTGCCAGCCGAGCGCATACTTCTGTCCCCCGTTTTGTAGAACACATTTTACTTTAATGGAAATATTCCATGAAGCTATGCATCTTGGACCTCGGAGCTGTGATTTACCACCGCCTCTTGTATTTGACTTATTTAACAATTCACTTGGTGGGGTTTGGAGCTGGTATTGTGTTCGTTATTTTAACTTGCTGCTTCAGTCGAAAGTCACAAAATAACGCATGCGTCATCTGCCTCTTGGAAGTGGTGTTGCTT